AGAAATGATAATTTTAAGCTTTTCTTTATAATTTCTCTCTCAAAAGCTTAAGTTTTTAATCAGACAATAATAAGGTATTAAAAACATCTCAATCCTAACAAAAAAAGAGATTTACAAAGAAAAATTTTAAAGTTTGAAACCTGCCCAGGTTATGGAACCAGATTTCTGACCTGGAGATAAAGGCCTGGTTGTATCCCATAGCTTTAAGACCATCTATCCACAGAATGCTCATGGCTCTCCCTCCCCCAGAGGAAGTGTTTTATTATAAAAATAACAAATTGTTATTGCCAACCATACAGACAGTGTAAACAAATATATCATAAGAGTAAAACCTCTCTTAGTTTTGTTCCCCAGAGTTTACTTTCAAAACATTGGAGTATGATTTGCACATAATAATACCAGTATTTAGTAAACAGTTCCATGTTTTCCATGTCAGGATACATGGCATTTTCCATCACCCCCAAATTTCACACGCGTCCCTTTGCAGTGCATTCTCTTCCAACCCCCAAAAGTAGGCAACCACTGATTTGCTTGCTGTCCCTAGAAGTTAGTTTTGCTGTTATGTAATTTTCTGCAAATGGAATCATACATATTGCTTAGAATAAAGTGTCTGAGATGCACCCATTTTGTGTGTAATTTATAGGTAGTATTCTGTTGCATAACTATATATTAATCTGTCTCCTCACACACTGATAGCCATTTGGATTGTTTCCAGTTTCTGACTGTTATGAGCAAAGCTGCTTTGACCCACAGGTATAAGTATTTATGTATTTTTGGGGTGGTTGGTAGGTAAATATTTAGCAGTAAAATTGCTCTGTCACATAGTACACATAAGAAAAAATCAAACTATTAGTTGAAATGGTGTTCCATTTTCCATTCACATCAGGGATGAGAAAGGGTCAGGGTTGTCCCATTTCTATTTGACATCTTCAGTTGTTTTTGTTGTTGTTGTTTTGAAGGTGAGAGGCCGTACTGGTGTCTCTTTGTGGTTTTGATCTATATTTCCTTGTGACTAATGATGATAAGCATCTTTTCTTAGGCGTACTGTCTATCAGTAATCTTGTTTTGTAAACAGCCCACTTTTTAAACTTATTTTATTATTAAATTGTCTTCTTCTTTTGGATTATGAATATTAGTTCTTTGTCAGATAAATGTTTGTGATGTTCTCCCTGTTTATGCTTGCCTTGGCATTTTCTTTAGGATGTCTTTTGAAGAGCAGAAGTTGTTCATTTTGATAAAGCCCAACTTATCAATATGGTTTTCTACAGATTGTGCTTTTGGTATAGGTAGCACTTAAGAAAGTATTGCTTATTTCAATGTTACAAATATTTTTCTTTGTTTTCTTCCATAAGTTTTATAATTTTAGTTTGTATATTTAGGTCTGTATCCATTTAGAGTTATTTTTTTGGAGGTATGGCGAAATATATTAGTCAGCTTTAGTTGCCATAACAAAATACCATACACAAGATGACTTAAAGAACAGAACTTTATTTTCTTATAGTTCGGGAGACTAGAAGTCCAAGTTCAAGGTGCCAGGTTAGCTGGTTTCTGGTGTGGACTCTCTTCTTGGCTGGTAGATGACCACCTTTCCCTGTGTCCTCATGTGTCAGGAGAAAAAGAAAGCAAGCTTTCTGGTGTCTCTTCTTATAAGGGCATTAATCCCATCATTTATTGAATTATTTTCCAAGAGCTCCATCACCAAATACCATCATATTGGAGGTGAGAGTGTCAATGTATGAATTTTAGGGGCAGACATAATTTAGTACCTAGCAATGAGATAGGACCTACAGTTTATTTTTCTACCTTGTGGGTATCCAGTCATTCTAGCACCATTGTTTCTTTTCCACATTGAATATTCTCAGCATATTGTTGAAAAATAAAAGGCTATATATGCAGGTGTCTATTTTTGAACTCTTCATTCTTTTCCATTGATTGTTGGGTGTACCCTCATGTCATTACCACACTGTCTGGATTATTTTAGCTTTCGAGCAAGTCTTAAAATAGGTAGTGGAAATCCATCAGATATGTTCTTTTCCAGATTGTTTTAGCTATTCTAGGTCTTTTGCAATTTTATATACATTTTAAACAACTTGTCATTTACTTCAGAAAAGTCAATTAAAATTTTCATTGTGATTATATTGTCTATAAATTGATTTAGAGGGGATTTTCATCTTAATATAGAGTCTTTGAATTAATGAATGAGGTACACATCTCCATTATTTTTGTATTCTTTAGTTTCTCTCAGTCATATTTTAGTTTTCAATGTACTGCTCTATCACATATTTTGTTAAATCAACCTATATGTATATTTCATATCTTGATGACATTATAAGAGGTATTTTCAAACATTTCCCTTCCAATTATACATAGATTACATATACAATAAAATTGATTTTTATATATTGATATTATATGCTGAAACCTTGCTAAATTCACTTCTAAATTCTAGTAGTTTTTTTGTTGAGATTCCTTTAGATTTTTTCCCTTACTATTTTATGGGTAAAGAAGTTTGACTTCTCCACAGATAATAATATTGGAATATAAATTCATTCCAAAGACTTAAGCATGGTAAATTATAGAGTTCTTGTGTATCTGATGCGGGGTAACCACTATAAAAGCAAAAATAACTACTTGTTTTTTAAAATCCTGAGACACCTACTGAAATGAGGAAACAGACAAAATATTTCAATTGCTCTACATAAAAATAGGAAAATAGGAGTACCCAGGAGAAAGATGCAGGCAAGGGTACCCTGGAGGTACATTTCTAAATGATGAAAAATAAACCAATCTCTTTTTGTATGTACATCCACTAACTTTTGAGGCCAGCAAAAAAATGTATCATAAATTTTATGTCAATCTCTAACCTGTAATCCCTTTTTCATAACTATATGATTTAAAAAAAAATAGTGTACATGTAGAAAAAATATTCATTTTTTATGAGGATATTTATCTCCTAATAAGTATCTAGAATGTGATTATGGTTACACTGCCAGTATCTAGGCAGACAGTTGAGTGAACTCACAGCTGCTAAGTAAACACAAGATTGGAGGCTTTTCAAGAAATCAATGTGCTCCCGACTTTAATAATACCTTCGTGCAAAAGGTGCAAAAGGGCTCCAGACTCTTAAAATTACTTCTGCTCAGTTTTTTTCCCCTTGAAAAATTTAAAAGACATCTGGCCTACCCTAGATGGATATTAGTAGAATCTGACCTTGAATAAGTACTTAACAGTTTTATAAGAAGGAACTTATGTAATTAAAATTGCTATATCAAGTGCAACAAAACTTCACTGTAATTACCTTATAATACCATAAATTCATTTTCAGAATGTGATGAACCGTATCTCCAGGGTGAGGTCTGGTACATTAAACTTCTCTCAGATACAGTCTAAAACCTAGATCTTGTCTTAGATGCATGATAACAATATCACAAAGGGGTCATAGCATAAACACATTGATTTAGTTGGTTGAAACTCATGTCTAAATCTTGTCTGTGGATAAATGATTGGGAAATAAGCATTCACTTCTGACATTTATGGATTCCAACTATATGCCTTGATATACTAAGTTTAAAATCTGAGTTATCCATTCCATAAATTATGGATTTGACAACATGTGTCCAGTCACAAAAATTTGTGCACTCGGGGGTAGGAGGTCCCTCAGCTTGGCCTGTCCCCCCTCGCAGTCTGGGACCCCTCAGGGGTGACCACCTGCTGGCTTAGGCCGGCTCCCCAGGCGATTGGGCCTAAGATGGCAATCAGACATCCCTCTGGCAGCCCGGCAGCCCTCGGGGGATGTCCACTTGCCATCGGGGAGCAGACCTAAACTGCAGTCGGACATCCTTAGCACTGCTGAGGAGGCAGGAGAGGCTCCCACTACCACCGCTGTACTGGCAGCCGTCAGCCTGGCTTGTGGCTGAGCAGAGCTCCTCCCATGTGAGAGCGCCCTGACCACCAGAGGGCAGCTCCTGCATTGAGCGTCTGCCCCCTGGTGGTCAGTGTGTGTCATAGTGACCAGTCATTCCCAGTCCTTCTGCTGTTAGGGTCAGTTTGCATATTATCCTTTTACTATATAGGATAGAGGCCTGGTGCACGGGTGGGGGCTGTCTGGTTTTCCCTGAAGGGTGTCCCAGATCAGGGTGGGGGTCCCGCTTGGGTGCCTGGCCAGCCTGGATGAGGGGATGATGGCTGTTTGCAGCTGGTCACACCCCCTTCAGGGTGGGGGTCCCCATTGGGGTGCCTGGTCAGTCTGGGTGAGGGGCTGAGAGCCGTTTTCAGGCTGGCGGGTGACTGAAGCTCCCAACCTCTCCTTTTTTCCTTTTTTTTTTTTTAATTCTGGGATTTATTTACCTTCTATGGCTGTCACTGGAGCTGAGAGCCAGCTTTAGCTCTGAGGCTCGGCTCCAGCTCTGAGACCTCGGCTGCTGAAAGCAGGTATCTGGGCTTTGTTTAGCTTCTATAATTGAAACACTGTTGCAACTCCAGCTCTGAGGCCCGGCTGGCTGAAAGCAGGTTTCTGGGGATTGTTTAGCTTCTATAATTGCAACATAGTTTCTTAGAGTGCAGCTCAGAGCTGGGCGGTGGCAGGTAGGGAACCTTGGCTTCCTCCATCACTGGAGCAAGCAAGCCTCCTGTTCGCTTCAGCTGCCTGGCTGCCGGCCACCATCTTGGTTGGCAGTTAATTTGCATATCGCCCAGATTAGCCAATGGGAAGAGTGTCGGAGGTACGGTTAATTACCATGTTTGTCTATTATTAGATAGGATTATGCAACTAGTTTGATGCCAACCTAAGAGACTGAAATAATTTTGAGTAGGGTAATTAACCTGACCATAAAATTAACACAATTTTATTCTATTATAAACAAGAATCTGGAGAAATTATGTGTTTGGTGAATTCTAACCTTTATAAAAACAGTGGTCAGTCTGGGCACTGTTAGATTCCACCTTTCCTTCAGGAGTTTACCTGTCACCTCCTATGCTTGCTTGTTGTCCTTAGAGCTTACCTTCCTGACTCAAAGGTGAACCACGTGGAGTCCCGCCCGTATCTCCTCAAGGAACTGAGAGGCCACATCACCAGTTTGACCTTGGCATTGTGGATATCCCAGAGATAGATATTCTCATGAGTGATCTGCATTGTGCATTCGCCGTAAATATCCAGATTTGGTGTAGGCATCAGATACACATTGAACCGCTCTGCAAAGAAACAAAGAATGGAGAAGAGGGCATGACTGTAGCTGCACTGGATTGATTGTCTACCTGCCTACAGCCCTCAGAAAGTGGTCTCGTGTCCCTGGGGGACATCCATACACACTACAAAACACTACTTTCTTCCATATGGTGCATGAAAAAAGGACTTCAAGTATTCTTAATCATTAATTAACTCACTCATCCTACAACTTTTGTTGCATGCATTCTCTATGGTGGGGATTAAATGGTTAAATTGTATGGTGGAGAAATGAGGGTAAAAAGCTAAGTGGATTTCAGCCCAATTGGTGCTTCCTGTCTGCTTCTTCATACACTTTAAGTGGATATCATACAATTCCTGAGAGGAGTGTCTTATTTAATTGAAGCAAAAATGTACTCATTTTTACCTTTGTGGCATGAAGTACTCAATGCACACTCAGACTGACTGTCAAAACACATTGTATTCACTGTCATTTTCAGCCCATGATAATTGCAGGTATTCATTACTGCCTTCTGCAGGACTTCATAATGTGGTTTTTGGTATGCAAAAATAAAAATACACAACTGTTTTCATTCCTGGATATTTTATACTTGAAAATCTGATTATTAGGCAATAATTCCAAATCTAGTTTTATAACTTTTTGTGCATCCTAAAGGCTACCACAAAATTCTGCAGCCTCTAATCTCCAGTTAAATGCATTATATGCATTTAATTTTGGAAAATAAGGTTAGTTTCTAAGTTCCAGGAAGTAAAGACCTTAGGATGACCTATAAAGTGTCCTATAAAATATCCCTAGTTCCTAGTCTTAGTTTAAACTAAGTGATCAATAAATATTGGTTAACTATGAATAAAATAAATATTGCCATAATAAATATGGTTTGCAAGAATTGAGGAATTATAAACAAATAATGAGTCATGATAACACAAATTGTAAGAATTACTGGTAGATAAATCCTTGTGAGTTTATAAATTTAATTATGAATAGTACATTAAAGGCAGTGCTGTTGAATTAATTATTTTGAAAGGGATAATGGTGCAGCTGCAGTTGGAAGAGGATTGATATGTTTAGGAATGTGCTACCATCCATCAGAATGCCTCAATTTAAACACCGACTGCTTGTACCGAGCTGGCACTGTCTGTATAATAGAAAGAATCTTTCCTGTGGCAGGTATTTTGCAGAATAACGATTTATTGATGCAAGAAAAAGAAAGACAATAAAATCAGATTCTAAATAGGTTAAATTTAATTTAAGCATGACAGCTTGAAATTTAGTAACCATATGAACAATAGTTATAATCAAGTGTCTAGATATTTTTGATTAAAATAATCTGATTCAATTTTTTACTAAGATTATTGACCTATAAAACTAATATGTATATGTTTTCACATTCATTTCCTAAAGACAAATTAAGATAAATTCTATAGATGATAAATGAAGAAAGAACATTGCCCTATTAATTATCTGCAATAAAAAGCACACACACACACATATATATATTTATGAAATATATATTCTAAATTCAAAAATTCTTGTGTGAAACCAAGTAAGGTATGAACATTTAGCATTAAAAATATCACTCACATTCCTACCACAATTCCCACACCAATGGGGTTGACAAGTAGTATACCAAAGGGGCATGATCTCATATAAGAATATAAATGAAACTTGGACCAAACAGAGTGACTCAGGAATATAGAGAATGCCTGAACAGCAGTCTTTTTTTCTTTGGTCAAGACCCTTTGGATGAAGTTCAGCTTTTACATTTGGAACTGATGATACGTCAGTGGCATTTATTGTGGACAGGGAAAATATTTTTACAAAAGTAGGAAGTAAAACATTCCTCTAAATTCCGTTCTTTCCATCAATTCCAGAGTCTGATAGCAACCGAAGAATCACTGCCAAAAAGTCAAGAAATAACACTTCTTTCAATATACTGAAATAAATGAACATCATTAACCAATTTTACTATTGCTTAGGGCCACACTGACCCTTGATGTTCACACCCACAGTTTGATATTTTTAAAAAAAGATGTAAAAAAATAATCGTGACATTGAGTGCCCTTCAGGTAGATGGAACACGAAACATCAGAGGACTCAGGAGAACCATATTTTCCCTGAAATGTCTGTGTGCTCTAATGTTAGCAGATAAATCCTAGTGATGATGAAGACCGAGTCCAGTCATCACAGTGGACATGGGGAAAAGCTGGAGAATAATAAATAAGTGAATTTAATAAGCTTCACATACTATAGAGCTCTAGATCTTTATAAGTAAATACAAAGTGATTGAGTAACTTGCCCCAAGGAGTCCTTCCAGAGCCAGCTCCAGGCAACATAGTGCAGGTGAAAGGTACCTGTGGTGGCCCTTCCCCCCTTGCCTGCCTTCAAATTTCTCAGTCTTCACACACTTTGTTACCTAGCAACTCAAGTTAACCCCTTCTTAATATGATTCAGAATACTCCAGTCTCCTTTTAATGCTATTTCTTGCATCTTATGAAAAATTTATCCTATTTTATTTCCAATTTTTAAATATTCAAATCCATTCTCCCCTAATTTCCAAGGATTAGAGATTCAATTAAAAACTAGACTAATGTAATCCAGCAGAAAACTGGGCACATAAAGATGAGAGCAGCGCATCAATTATCTAGTAAATTATACTTTTTTCCTACTCCATTATAATGGAAGGAAGGTTTCTGCACTTGCTATGAATAATTTACTTTATGCCCTTACTAACATAAAACAGGCTGTTGCTCAAATTCGTTATGGTTTCCATTGGAAAGACCATTTCAATATGACAAAGTTAAAATTGGCTCCACTAAAAGGACTTAAAAAAATTCTTTATTGTTGAAAGTATTACATATATCTCCTTCCCCCCCCCCCCATTGAACTCTCCCCGGCCGCTCCCTCCACCCCCAGCACATGTCCTAGTCCCCCTACTGTCTGTGTCCTTTGGTTATGCTTATCTGCGTGCATACAAGTCCTTTGGTTGATCTCTTACCTCCGAGGCTCGATGGTCTGTTTGATGCTTCTTTGTCACTGGATCTATTTTTGTTCATCAGTTTATGTTGTTCATTATACTCCACAAATGAGTGAGATCATGTGATATTTATCTTTCTCCGACTGGCTTATTTCACTTAGCCTAATGTTCTCCAGGTCCATCCATGCTGTTACAAATGGTAAAAGTTCCTTCTTTTTTATAGCAGCATAGTATTTCATTGTGTAGAAGTACCATAGTTTTTTAATCCACTCATCTGCTGATGGGCACTTAGGCTGTTTCCAAATCTTAGCTATTGTAAATTGTGCTGTTATGAACATAGGAGTGCATATATCCTTTCTGATGGGTGTTTCTGGTTTCACGGGATATATTCCTAGAAGTGGGATCACTGGGTCAAATGGGAGTTCCATTTTTAATTTTTTGAGGAAACTCCATACTGTTCTCCACAGTGGCTGCACCAGTCTGCATTCCCACCAGCAGTGCCAGAAGGTTCCTTTTTCTCCACATCCTCACCAGGACTTGTCATTTGTTGATTTGTTGATGATCGTCATTCTGACAGGTGTGAGGGGGTACCTCATTGTTGTTTTGATTTGCATCTCTCAGATGATTAGTGACTTTGAGCATATATCTCTTGGCCTTCTGTATGTCCACTTTCAAAAAGTGTCTATTTATGTCTTTTGCCCATTTTTTGATTGGACTGTTTATCTTCCTTTTGTTAAGTTGTAGGAGTTCCCTATACATTTTGGAGATTAAACCCTTATCAGATGTCACATTAGTAAATATGTTCTCCCATGCAGTGGGTTCTCTTGTTGTTTTGTTGATAGTTTCTTTTGTTGTGCAGAAGCCTTTTATTTTGATGTAGTCCCATTTGTTTATTTTTACCTTAGTTTCCAATGTCCTAAGAGATGTATCAGTAAAGATATTGCTACGACATATGTCTGATATTTTGCTGCCTATGGATTCTTCTAATATTTTTATGGTTTTTCTAAAATGACTTTTTAAAATGTTTATCTTTGTAAAATAATTTTACCAGGCAGGTGTTTTAAACATCTCTCTAATCATGTCACTTTCATATTTATGAACCTACATTTGGTTTTTACTGCCTAGAGCACTGGTTTTCAGGCTTTTGTGGGCATCAAAATGACCTAAAGGGCCTGTTTAAACTCAGATGGCTAGGAGTCCTTATGAGAAAATATAATTTTATTTTAAATGGCCAAAAACAATAAAAGTTAGATATTTATTAAACTAATGTCCCACAGAGAATGTAGCTGAATTTGCAGTTAGATCTGCAAGGGCATTTTTACACCAGGGCTGGATTGAGAGGGCCAATGGAATAGACTGAACCTCAAAAGGCCGGGACATAGGGTTACAGTCACAACTCCAGGAACAGTCTTGAGGGAGTTACCAAACAAGGTTTAGTTAAATCGAATTGGACAAGGTCTGGTGAGAAAGGGTCATTGCGCTCAGGAGAAATGGTCCAGGAAAAGGAACAGTAAAACCCCAGGCTATGTGTGTATGAGACCGAATGGGTCATCAGCCCTGAGAAGGACCAAACCTTCCTTTCTCCGCCACCGGCATTTTAAATAGATCAAGTTTTGGGCAGGAACTGATCCATGTATAGTGATGAGCTTGCCTGGCGGGTGGAGGTAAGTGGGACGAGTTCTTCCTGCTGCAGCGGGAAGTAGAGGATCAGGGACGGGGTTTCTGACATGAAGCAAAACCACCTCCAGTGAGCAGAAATAAACAGAAGACAAAGGGACAATGAGCTCTTCGGCCAGTTTCTTGATACAGTGGGGCCTTGACTTACGAGTGTCCCGACTAACGAGTTTTTTGAGATACCAGCTGTCTCTCGGCCGATTTTTTGCATTGAGTTGACAGAGTAATTTGAGTTAATGAGCTCCTTAACGAGCTCGGTCTCGGAACGAATTAAACTCGTAAGTCAAGCCCCCACTGTATTGAAGTCACAGTTTCTTATCAGTATTGAATGTTGCAATCGCCAACCTGGTTTACTGCTTCTTTTATTTAGATCTCTTCTAATTTCTCTCAGTAATATTGAGTTTTCAGTGTAGAGACAGGTTTATATACTTTGCCAAGTTTATCTTTGAGTATGTGATTTTGGATGATTTTATAAATGATGTTTTTTATATTTCATTTTCAAATGTTTATTGTTTATTGCTAATATGTGTGTAAATAGTATATGGGTTATAATATATCACATATTATATTAAATTTTTACACATTAACTTTTTATTCTGCAACATCCCTGAATTTACTTAGTCTTAGTTGCTTCCTTAAAAATTCCTTTGGGTATTCCAGGTACACAACCCCAGCTTATTATTATTATTTTAAACTAATTTTTATGATTTTCTTTTCTTGTAATATTACACAAATTAGGACCTTAAGTAGAATACTGAATACAGGTGGTGGAAGAGGATGTCTTTGCTTATTTATAATCATATGAAGGTAGCAGTCAGTATTTTACCTTCAAGAATGATAATTTTTGAAGGTTTTTCATTGATGTCCTTCATCAATTTGAGAAAGTTTTCTTCTTTCCTAGGTTTAGAAAGTTATTTTCATAAATGCATATTGTATTTTAAAAACTGGGTGGCTTAAAACAACAGAAATTTAGTGTCTGGTGGTTCTAGAGCCAGACGTTTGACCTCGAAGTGTCAGCAGGGCTGTGCTCTCTACGAGGCTCCAGAGGGAGAATCCTTCCTGGTCCCTTCTAGCTTCTGTGTTTGCCAGCAACCCACGTCCTGTAGATGCTTCACTCCCTTCACACGGTCGTGTTCTCTCCATGTGTCTTCAGATCATCTTTCCTCTGTGCATGTCTGTTTCTGTCTCCAAATTTCTCCTCTTTATAAGGACATAGTGAAGGTCATATTGGATTAGGGCTCATTCTAATGGCCACATTTAAACTTGATTATCTCTGTAAAGACCGTATTCCCAATCAGGTCACATTCTGAGGTCACTGTAGGCTATCTTAAGTACTACTAAAAGATGTGAAGATCCTGGAAGTTGTACAAATTTAAAGTTTAAAATGTGTACTTAATATACACTTTCTTGTGGCAGTGTTATCCAACGTCTAAGAATAAGTCTGTGTGTGTGTGCTTGTGTTTGCTTACTTTTCCCCTTACCGTGTGAAATTCAGAGTCAATACAAAAGCAGCTGGAAGCATTAGATAAAGATGATTTTAGCAAAGATTTTAACCGATAACTTTTATCTCAGCAACACAAATTACACCTTTAAAAATTATTTATACAAAGCTTCATTCTTAGCTAGTCTCAGAATAAATAAGATCAAGCTGTCTGAAGAGTTGGAAAAACAGTAGAGGAAAGTAGCAATTTTGAATGTCCAAAACATGTGGTGATCAAGGCTGCGCAGTAAGTGTTTCCTTAATGGTAGGACACCACACAATCACCACAAGCCACAATAATGTAATTTACTATTTCAATTCTGCACACATGTGCACCTCACTGCTCAAGACAAACTATAAATGAAATCCAAGCACATCCTATATAATAAAAGCCTAATATGCTAAATGTCTGGTAGTCCGTTCAATCAATCAAAGTGTAATATGCTAATGATATGCTAAGGCTGCTCAACCGCTTACTATGATGTGCACTGACCACCAGGGGGCAGATGCTCCAACCGATAGGTTAGATGTGCACTGACCACCAGGGGGCAGATGCTCCAACCGATAGGTTAGCTTGCTGGGGTCTGACCAATAGGGACTGAGCAAGATGGGCTGGACATGCCCTGGAGCCTTCCTGCGGTCCCTTCCCACCAGGTGGCAGATGCAATGAGCTGAGCGGTAAGGAGCAGTAAGCAGGTGGGCCATAAGGAATGAGGGGTACTGGACTGCAAGAGGGTGCAGACTGTGCTGAGGAAACCCTCTCCCCCAGTGCACAAATTTCATGCACTGGGCCTCTAGTCATTAATAAAATAGTAAAATAATATTTCTGATGAAGGTTAAATTGCATAATTTAAAACTAAAATGCCTTAAGGAAAGAAGACCAAATCTGTAATGATAAATATTTCATAAAGGATTTATTCTAATTTGTACATACTAATGACTTCAAACATGTCTTAGGAAGTTAAGGATTTTGTTTATGTCCAGAGGTTTTATGCTTGAAGATGCTGGAATAGTGACTGGAAGGCATAAAGAAGAGCTTTATGACTTCAGGTCTTCTCTCACATATATTCAGGAATTATTTTTTGATTTTTTTTTGTTTTTACTTATGCTTAAAAACACTTGTGATTTTTTAAATTGAGCTAAGCAGGAGAGTTGGTCTTTATTTGATACAACCTCACTTCACCATCATGACAGCCCCATGAGCAAATATTAGTTCATCTTTATACTGAAATTAGGAAACTGAAATTAGAAGAGAGTTACTTGTCTGTGGGAATAGCCTGCATTTATACTGTGGCCTGGAGATTACTCGGCAGGCTACAACTGCCTGTGCTTTTTATAAATAGCTCCGGCATTGAATTCCGTGCTTGACCTAGCTAAAAAAACCATATTAAAAATTTCCCTTTATATGGTAGGCAAGTTACTTTGACATTATTATCAAGTTAGATTTAAAAATTACACTAAACCAAAGGAGCACATTATCCATTTGGATGGAAACCATCTACAAACCCAATATTAAAATAAAAGCATACAATTCACACTGAACAAACGCACAATAATTCTTCCTCTCTCCTAAGCCTGACTTAGCGGCTTTCTTCATATTTCTTTTATGTCATACTTGACAAATGTTAACAGCCAGAGTTTTTTTTTTCTTTCTTAAACTGAGCAGCATACATCGGACAGCGTGATTATGGCCTTTCTGCACTTAGCACGGTTCTCAGAAAACAGACCAGAGAGCTGAACTCCAAGAGAGTGGAAGGGAAACTGCGATATAAAGGCAGCTAGAAAAGGAGCCCCAGGAATGCCTTCGTGACCTTCCAAAAACTATCAACACAGACAGTGTTTTGAGTCCATATGTGTTCATGATCAATCAGTGGGGAAAACATGTTTTTCAGTTTAGCACAAACAGAAAATAATGCTTTTTAATGAACTACAAGACAGTGATGGTTGTTAGAACATTATCAGTCATAACAAGATGATAGCCCTTAAGTGTTATCATGGTGCACATCTACCTGTTCTGTCTAATTTATAAACCATGCATAATTCTAAGAAGTCTTTTTAATAATTAGTGTCAAACTTTGCCAACATTAGTCAACCTTTTCAAACATTGGCCATCAAAAATTAGCAACACTGAAACGTTTCTATTTTCATACCACTAGATCATCTGGTGGTGATGGTAATGATTTTTTAAAGATGGAGAAAAAGGAGCTCATTACATCACTCTGATTTCAGTATTTAGAGGTGCTAGGCAAGAACCTGCAGCATAAATTTTCGAGAGATGTCAGCAAGGCCCATTAAATTACAGAACAGTGTAGGAAGTAAACTTAGAAGTAAACTGTGTGTCACATAAATCTCAATTTTTTTATACCCTGCGATTTCATCCACTGTACTTTCCTACTTATAGTTGCTATGGGATGAATTGTATCTCTCCAACCCCAACCTAAATTTATATATTGAAGCTCTAATCCTCCAAAGTTATAGTATTTAAAGATGGAATCTTTGGGGATAAATTTAGATGAGGTACTAAGGGTGGGGCTCTCATTAGAGCGCTCTCTCTCTCTCTCAGGATCACAGCAAGAAGGCAGTTGTCAGCAAGCCAGAAAAAGGGTCCCTGCAAGCCAGAAAAAGGGTTCCTATCAGACACCAACCCTGCTGAAACGTTAACTTTTGACTTCCAGCATCCAGAACTGTCACCCAGTCTATGGCATTTTGTTATGGTATTCTAAGCTAAGACATTGTATTAGCCAAATTACCTGAAATCAATCGATAAATAACACAATAAGCCAAATTTGTTTATATAGACTCTAAAGTACAGTAACTCTCAAAGAAGAAAATTTAAGAATGTTGTCCAGTCAAAACCTTATATACAGTGATTTAACTCATTAGTTATTTATTTAGGTAAATGGCAATGTCACAAAGAAAGATGTCGGGAGACCCAGGTTTTATGTTAACATTATCTCTAGTTGCTATGCAATCTTGAGAGTCTCTTAAACAGCTCAGGTCGATCAGTTTACTTTCCTTGAAAAAATGATTGGTCTGAAACATTTCTGGGCTCCTTTTAAGTTTCAAAGTTCTATGACGGCTAGTGTACTTGACAATGATGGAAGGCAACTCCCACTTACCATTCTGTTCTCGTTGCACTCCTGCTGCCAGAAGGTCAGGTTCCCCAAGGCTGATGTCATTCAGCCTGGTCCCCAGACACTCCATACAGAGATGCTTGCACCACTCCTCGGCCTCCAGCTCTGAAAATGACCACACACCGTCAGAGTCAAGCAATGCTGCACAGGAATGATGGGGGAGCACTGCTTCCCGGACCATTTCTGCAGGGAATTAGGAAATGTTAAAATCTACCCTAAGCACACAAAGATGCTGTACTCAATGAGTGGGGAAAAAATCCCCACAATTATTTCCCACTGCTTGACATTATATTTTAAGGTGATTTAAAATTATTTCAAAGCACTTTAACTCCTTTACAAATAATAACACATAGAGTATTTGTTTACTATCCTGTATATTTTAGATTGATTTGAGTTTTGAGTGGAAATTCCTTAGAAAAATTAGTTAAATATAAAGTGAAAATAAATATATGAGTAGTTGACAATGTCAGACTAGATTAAGCAAGTGAAAGTTTTGCTCAATGTGACAGATTTGTGTGGGTTGCAAGTCTGATTCCCAAGTCAATCTGAATTGCAATGGATTGTAGATCGGCACAAGTATGTGACAGTTTTTGTGTGTGCTTGTTTCTAACATCAGAAGTGGGATCTGCTTACTTTAAAAAAATTGGGATAGACTACTAAACGTATTAATCCTCTTTAGCAAATGCCAATTATCTGAGGTGCCGATTAGAGAACCACTCTTTTTACTCCTATTACTTCTCAATTTGTTTATCTTCTCAACTTTTTTCTTTGCTTGATATATCACAATGTCTGAGTCTTGTCGTATCTAACACTTTCACAAACATACATACATTTGATTCTAACATAAGCCTTGTGTAGGTGAGGTGGCTAAAGGGTTAAATTTGTACCTGGGTCCCATAGCATATCATTTATCATTGGTCAGCACAAGACCAAATTGGAACCCAGGTTTTCCAGCTGTCTTTAATATGCAAAGATCTGAAAAAGAGTATGAGGTCCAAAATTTTGGGCCAAACTCCCAAAAACCCCTCCATAGAAATTGGTTAAGAACTCTCCTTTGAACCTGTCCAGAGAGAGACATTTCTGACTTATCCATGTAGCACAAATCTATACCAGAAGAATTTAATATCAATTTCCTTCACATCTTTTCTTGCTCTCTGTGGATGACATTCCAACCTTTGTCTTGGCATTTTAAACTCCCCATGAAAAGTTATCTGTGACAGGTCTTCTTGACTCCATGGTTTTAAATACCAACTGCTCTGCTCCACGGTGAACACCATCTAGCCTGGGGAATGTTTTCTTCCTGTGCTAGTCACACTGCCTTAGCATCAAAAATAAGTTTGACCAGTGAGATGTCAAGGGAAATTTGTCATTCACTTTTAGTTTTAAAAATTTAAAAATAAACTTAAAATTTTTGTATTGAATTTTGGAGAGAGGAATGGGGAGAGAGAGAGAGAGAAAGAGAGAGAGAGAGAGAGAGAGAGAGAGAGAGAGAGAGAGAGAGAGAGAAAGAGAGAGAGAGAGAGAAGTGTGTGTGTGTGTGTGTGTGAGAGAGAGAGAGAGAGAGAGAGAGAGAGAGAGAGAGAGAGAGAGAGGCTATCCTTGTAATTCAGATGTTGTCAAAGGTTCATTTCATTTTTAGGCATTCACAGTGAATTCACTGTAAGCCAGGAAATGTGCTAGGAGGAGGTTGTATGAAAATCACATTTTTTCCTGTTCTCAGTGATCTTCAAGTCTAGGTGGGTAGCAGGTGAGTTTGGTATATGGTAGTCTAAAGCACATCAAATTTTTCTATTATTGGGTGATAAATATTCTTTCTACATTTATTAAACTCTTCTTAAATGCATGCTTTCCTAGAAAGTGAAGAAAAATATCTCCCCACGTGTACTATTCCTTAATAAATACAGGGATCTCGCTATTGTCATTCAAAAATTTGCAGAGTTATGAAAATATACACACTAATTAGATGATGCTTTTGATTCTTGAAAGTTGGTACCTTCTTGTTAATTTACTAGCCTAAGTTGATATTTTATGACTTTTCTTTTTCTCTCACTTTTTCTTTTGGGAGACAGGAAACCAGGTAAAACCTAATTTCTTATTTCAGCAAAGATGGAAAGACTGTGTCTTTGTTTAGCAGGAAACAGAAAGTGCCTTTTCCAATGAAGTCAAATTGGTAAGATTGATCAGTTTTGAGAGGGGGGAGCTTTTAGTGTTTTTTCCAAGTAGAAAGCATGGTTATTTCCTCTCCCTGAAGTGCACTCTTTTGCTCCCTCTCACTTCCCCTCACAATAACCCATTAAAACTGGTTTCAAGTATGACCAGCTCAATTTAACTCCTTCAGTCCCATGTTTAGGTTTGACACTTCCCTCCGTGTTTCCACAGCACTTTGGACATACTCTTATCATGGCCCCTGTGTATCACTGAGTTATTTGTCTGCTCTTCTCAACCAATATACTTACTAGTAAGACACTGGAGTGTGGGAAACCTACTCCATTTAGTCACTCTAGACCAGTGGTTCTCAACCTTCCTAATGCCATGACCCTTTAATACAGTTCCTCATGTTGTGGTGACCCCCAATTTCATTGTTACAAATTGAACATAATTAAAGCATAGTGATTAATCACAAAAACAATATGTAATTATATATGTGTTTTCTGATGGTCTTAGGCGACCCCTGTGAAAGGGTTGTTCGACCCCCAAAGGGGTTGCGACTCACAGATTGAGAACCGCTGCTCTAGACCCTAGCTCAGCACCTACATATGGAAACTAATAATGTGGAATGAGTAAGTGGGACAGGAAGTTAAAGATGAATTCTAGGTCCAAGTGCAGATAATTTAGTCACTTGCTGGATGTTTTGAGGTTTCTATTTATCCCCATTTAAGTGGATATTGTAACTTTTGCTATTCACAGCTGGCTCATCTAGATAAAAAAGGGCCGTCTGCTACCTCACTACATTATACCAGGTTTCTTTGGTTCACGTTTCTCTATTTTTCTGTATCAACCAACTTTAGCTTAGATTATGCTGTGAAAGAAACAGCCCTGCAATCTCAGAGGATTTCTATGACAAAAATGTTTATTTCTTGCTCCTGCCCTTGTTGGATGCAGGTCAGCTTCAGCTATGTGCCAGGTTCCCTTCTGTAGGACCAGGCTGGAGGGGCAGCCTTTAACCCAGTCTCAAGGTAAAGAGGGTCAAAACATAGAACCAGGCAGGGCCATTAAAGTCAGATGTGGGACATGTCAATGCCTCCACATTCCACCAACAAAACCACGTTCGTGGAAAAGAAGGTTCAATATTTGCCCAGAGCAAGGGAGGTGGTCATTGGGAAGAGTACCAGGCTACCACATGGGACTCATCTTTCCCCCAACCCTTTACTTTCCATCACTCTGGGTCCTTACTCTCATGTGCATTATCTCATAAGAAGTACTTCTTTTCTGTTTTTGGTTTCCTTCTTCCTAAAGAATATATTTTTAGCATTTATTTCTGTGATGGCATAGATTAATAAATTTCCTTATTATTTTACTTCTGAAAATGTCTTTCTACCTTCACCCTTAAATGACAATTTATTTTAATGCTATTTTTCTCCAGAATTTTGAAAACATTTTTCTAGTGTTTTCTATTATTGTTGCCAATATTGAGTCATCTGTTCATCTGTCATTTCTTTCTAAAAGTTTCTGTTTTCTTTGTGACTGCTTTATATGTAATTTGGCATATTCACATATGTGTCTACATGTTGGCTTGATGTAACCCTTGAAGACAATGTATTCATTCCTAGGATATTTTTCATATGTTAATATTTTAATCTCTTCATATTTTGTGCTGCATTCTTGATAGTTTCAGGCTTATTTTCTAATTAACTAGTGATCTCCTTAAAAATCTAATTTTATTCAATCCTTTGCATTTCAATGGATTTTAAAAATATTTAGAGGTTCTAGTGGTATATTTTGCACATAATTTTTAATATTAATATGTCCTTCCAAAATATGTCTAGTTCTTTATTATATTTATTTATTTCAAATATAATTACTTTATATTCTTTTAAAACTTTTCTTATTTTTTGCCATTCTGGGGTGCTAGTTTTCCTTTTTAAAAAGTAGATGACTTTCTCTCATTGTGGTTTGTACAGTTTTTAAAAACAAATATATTTTTATTGATTTTATAGAGAGAGGAAGGAGAGGGCTAGAGAAATATCGATGTGAAAAACATTGATTGGCTGCCTCCTGCACACGCTTTCCTGGGGATCAAGCTCGCAACCCTGGCATATGCCCTGACCAAGAGTCAAACCAGTGACCTTTCGATTCATGGTACCACACTCAACCAACAGAGCCATTCCAGCCAGGCTGTACAGTTTTATTGTAAGGTTATCATCAGAAAGACTTTCTCTTATCTAGAGACCTCAAAAGCCTGTGACCCTTAAAACTTCTCAACAAAACCATTCATAGTTTGCCACCTTCAAAGTCTTACAGAAGTGAGCAATTCTGGAAGAATTTTTAAATTTAATATCAGGTTGGATTCTTTCCTTATGCAAATAGTTTATATCAGTAAATTGCATTCATGTGTGTGGCGAGCCTTCATTTGGATAACTGTTCTCCACCTACCTCTGAGACTGATGTCAGCCCTGCTCAGTGCTCACTCAGGGCATCAAGTGGAGTTGTGCTATTACTTTCTCCAGGAAGGGGAGAGCACTTGCAGAGCCAGATTTTATGCAAATAATTCAAGTCCACAGCCTCCACTTCATGTTGACACAATATTATATTTCCTACCCTAGTGATGTTTATTAACCAAAGTTATTTTAACTCCTGTGTTGGCATATTGTGTAACTACAATATTGAATAAGCCAAAGTCCTTCTTCTATTGACTACTTTCTCTCTTGGCTCCTCTTCTGGGTATGATTGTTGATATTTGATTGAATGCTGGGAAGTATATATGAAACATTATAAAGATAACTTGAAGATATAAATGATGTTAGCTTTGTCTAGAGAGGGTTTAGTTCAGCTTTTTGCTAGTAGCTAGAGACTTATCAACTTTATTCAGCCTGAGACTCAGATGATTCAAATTTGGATTTCTGTCTTTGACAGTACTGGTTCATATTTAATTTTTCTTTATCTCT